TTTGCATGTCTGTAACTGAGAAGTTTAAGTGAGACCCTTCAGGTATCAGGCTCACAGACAGCTCCAAGGACAGAGAAGGGGTCTTCGGGGTCTCGACTCTTTTTCCTTCTTCCTTGGCCCTGCGCTCCGATGGCAGGAGCCCCGTGACTAGAGCTGCCTGCAGTAGCTCCAGACCCAGCAAGGGGGGGGGGGACCATACTTCTCTCTTGGTTCTCAGGGGAAACCCTCAGCAGACCGTGCAGTCTAGGTGTCTTTGAACACATGTTTGTGCAAGAAATGGAGAATTATAATTGGTAAGGCTTGCCTGGGTCATATTCCAAGATGAAACCCACCCGAGGCAGGACCAAATGGCGGCGCCGGGTGTGCCAGGCCCCATGCACCCCAGCAGGTGAGGGCATTGTAGGCATCCTGAGCTGACCGTGGGCCAGTAGCTAATCCTTACGCTGTGCTTGTGCACAAGCCCTTCAGGGTCACAGTGTGGCCTCAAACCTCGGTCTCCTAGGCTCACGTGATCCCAGTGCCTCAGTTTCACAAGTAGCAAGAACTTTGGGTGCCTGTATTGCCACACCCTGCCCAAGCTCTTCCTCGTCTTCTTTTTAACATCTCTGCCAAGCTCTGTGTCAGAGGGATACGAAAGATGAAAGAGATTCTGGCTGTGGAAGGGCCACTTTTTACCAGGGAAAACTTCACAGAGACAGAAAAGCAGACGCCTGTGTGGCTAGCGTGGTGGGAAGCAAAGCGCAGGGAAATCCAAGCTCGAGCCAGCGTGGTCCGGAAGCCCTTGTTACAGGGCACCGTAGATCAAGGCCTTTGGTGTGGAAGCTCGGTGCTGACTCAACCCAAAGTACCTTTGGGTTACAAATAATAGAGGACCCAAATCAAACAGGCTTGAAAAACGAAGTTAATTTATTTTCTCCTGTTAATCAAAGTTCAAAGGAAGGGTGGCTTGCTGTAGAAGTTTTATCATGCCTTCACGGCGGGCTCCTGGTTGCCTGCCCTTCCTTGGACCAGCTTCTTAGGCTGACTTCCTCACAAAGGTAAAGTGGCTGTCACAGACCGCAGCCTAACGTTGGCATCCCAAGCTGTCTGGGTGCCCCAGCCTCCTTCACAACAATGACCGGGAAGCCCTCTGCAGGGCTGGCTCAGGTCACTGTAGCCAGGGAAATCATTGCTTAGGTCACAGCTCTACCTGTGGAGCCAGGGGTGGGTGGCATGAGGTGTTGCTGCAAGTCCCTTAACTGTGACCCTCGGGGCAGCCCAGGCCTCCTCACCTTAGAACAAGTGCCCTGTGGACCCAGGAGCGGTCGCAGGGTGGTGACACCCCCCCCCCAGGTGATAGCCCTGGCATCACTGCCCTCTCTGGAACATTCAGGCTATACATCGAAATAGCGAGACGGGAGTCCGGCCCACCAGAGGATGGGCCACAGAAAGTCAGTTGTTTCTCATGGGATCAACGGCCTGCTTTCTTGGGTTTTTTGTTTTTTGTTTTTTGTTGTTGTTTTGTTTTGTTTTGTTTTGTTTTTCCTGCCTGAATTTCAGTGGCCAAAGCAAAATCGCATGCCAGTACACAACCCCAAAGGCCAGGTCAGGGTAGTGATGCAGGGGAGACCCTGGACTGATGCAGGGGAGACCCTGGACTGATGCAGGGGAGGAAGTGCCTTCCAGAGCGCCTGCCTGCTACAGTGCAGCCCCCAAGCCTCTCGCCTCACAAGGAGGTCGGGAGGCAGCCGGCCTCCTCTGCTTGAGCCAGCCTCCTGTGATTGTTCATGCCACACACGGGAGCCCTCCCGCTTCCAGAAGGGGAGGAGACTGGCAATGGAAGGCTAACCGCTCCCCCCCCCTCCGGGTCCTACACAGGGATCAGTATTTCCTATAATACTGTGTGAGTTTAACCTCAAAGTAAATGGTTAATTCATCTTATATCAACAGCACTGTGATTCATAATGTAAACTTGGAGGATTTTTGATGTTTCGAGCCCACATTCCTTTTAATTTGACTCTGCATTCTTTTAAAGCCACAGTATGCTCACTGATAGAATACAGCATGCAAATGCACGGCTCTCTGCCTGCAGGCGATTTAGCCTGGCTGGTTCAGTGGATGTCTTCTTTCAAGTGTATGCTCTCTCTTAAATTATTTACTGGGTAAACACACTTTGCATTTTCAAAAGGGAGATTAAGACTGCTTGCTCCTGGCCTGGTGGAACATGAAGGCATCTTACCCGGAGTTAAGAGCAAGTCATCGGGGCTGCCCCCAAAAGTTCTTTCCGGATCGCTAGCAGCTCCTTGACCTGGCTGGCTCTTCTGATTCCTCCCAACTCTGCAGCTCTGCATTCTGTTCTGTTGCCCAGAGCAATAAGGATTGCCCAACAGCGATGGTCAGGGACTGTTCTCCAGGCTCCCTCATAGCTGGGGGTCTACCACTGCCTCCCCCCACACACACCAGCTCAATCCTAGCCACTCAGGGGGGTCATTTTCTGTCCCTAGAAAGACATATTATTTGCCCAAGTCCTTTGCAAGCTGAAGCTGGGTTGATGCCCTGGCCAGTCAGGCTTACATTCAGCCCTCTCTGGTCCAGCTGTTTCTGCCCTCAGCTCCTGTCATCTCCAAAGCCTGGCAGTCCTTCCACTGGTCCACGCCCAGGAGCCCGGACGGCCAGCCCTTCCTCTAGCAGCTGAGAGGAGGCAGGGCTGCTGTGATGGGGGCACTGGTGGGTCGCTCCACCTTGAGGGGCTCGTCTCTGCTTTCACCTTCATCTTCCCTACCCAGCCGTTTCCGGCCAATTGAACTTGCCCAGATGTCTCCTTCACCCTCCTTAGACTGGGATGGTTACAGTCCCCAGGGCCACACTCTGCCATCACGTTTGTTCTCCGTCCTGCTCCCGAGTGCTGGCCACAGCACTGTGTCCACGCTTTAGAGGTGGATTCTATCTGTTCTTTACAGGTGGATGATGGGAGCAGCAGAGGCTGGTGATGGGGTTGCCAGTGGGCACGGGTGCACACAGAAGGGGAAAGCCTAGATTTGGGGCCTCCTGTGTACTTATTTTATTACTGTGCTCCAGAGTAAACTGGTAACCCCTGTCTTGGATGCTTGGGGGCTCTCTTCCCACAGAAAAGAGAGCTGTCACTCACGCTATAGAAGAGACACTCTACCTACCACAGGTCACCTATGGCAGGATTTGTTAAGTTTCTGTGCTTTGAGTCCGTTTTACTGCTGAGACTCGGTTTTGCTGACCCCCTTTGTAAATCTGACATGGGTGACAGTGGCAAATAGAGACTTGAACAATGACTTCAGCAAACAGGGCCATGGGGACCATTCTGAAGACTTGCCTCCCTTCCAGAGAAAAGGAAAACAAACAAACACAAACAAAAAACCCCCAAAAATGTTGAGTTTTAGATGAAGCCTAAGCAGTGCCACTCTGTTCCTAATTAGCTTCCCTTTAATACACCGCGATGTCCTGTTCTTATTTACTTACACGGGGTGGGACAGAGAACCCTTCCTGCCTCCTGGGTAAACATGGCCTGTTAAGTCTGAATTAGCTGTCATCACAGAAGAATTAATGTCGGGCACAGGCTTTCTAGCGGGACAAGAAGAAATAAACAACACAGATCTTCACAGAGCCTCATGTGATAAATGGGGAACGGAGCACACCATCCATCTCCTGCGAGGGAAGCGGACATGGACGCTAAAGCAGTTTTGCGGAAGACGTGTCAGCAAATGGCGATCATTTTGTAACCTGTCAGAAATAGAGGGAGCCCCGTCCTGTTAGTGGACACAGGGGAGTGGACCACTCTAATGGGATGGTACCCATCCATCTGTGAAGAAGGAAGGGTGGGTGAGGAGTATGCCACCGAAGCCGCCACCTGATGTCGTCCTCTATCCCAGCTGCAGGGACACTGTGCCGGTTCCTCTGTCGAAGTGCTCAACGGGGGGGGGGGGGCCTGACTGGTGGAAGACCCTGCCCAGGGTCCCATGTGTGTAGGTAGGAGGTCACAGGACTCCGAATGTGCCTCTGAGCAGGTGGGATGAGGTGGCAAGGGATGGCAGCCAGCTAGATGGCCAGCCTCTGCTTCTGGGCTTCTATTTCCATGCGCTCTGTGAGAGCAGCAAGCGTGGGCGAGGCCGTTTGACCCAGGTTCCCTTTGAAAGGCTCAACAAAGCATTGTGGTGTGCGACCTCTTTTCTCAGAATGAGGTAACAAATTATGAAATCACTCCAGCGGAAGCATGCTGCAGGCTTCAGCGTGTGTCTCCTCTGTTAGTCTTTGTGAGGTCAGTATCAGCAGGGCTGGGCTGGACCGAGGGACCAGCATCCCCTAGAGGGCCCACCCACCGCCGCTTGCCAGGCACCTTGAGGACTTTCTGTTCACTCTCATATCCAGCTTTTTGCACCAGGGAGCTTAGGTAACATTTCCTCCTGGCTTGCCGAAGCCGTGAGCCATACTGACAGGTGCCGGCTTCACAACCTAAGCTGCAAGTTTGACACTTGCTTCTCAATCCTCTCCTCTCCCTGCTAAGTCTCTCTCGCTTTTCCTGGGGTATTTTTGTTCAGGTAAGTACCTCACTGATGTATATTTCTTTGGAGTCCTTTCCTTTCACGGGGAAACACTGGGGAGGAAAGGGGAGAAGGCTTCTCTCCCGTTCTAAATTAAAGAGAGGTGCTCACATGGAGCCCTTGATCACCTAAAGAGGCTACACGGTACCCAAACCCTGGAAAGCCCTTGATTCCCTGTAGCTTTTCGGTGAAGCATCCAGTGACTGCAAGCACTGTGGAGCTGTGTGTGTGTGTGTGTGTGTGTGTGTGTGTGTGTGTGTGTGCTGTGGAGCTGTTCATAGACCTGGTAGCTGCGTGCGCACACACACACACACACACACACACACACACACACACACACACACACACACTCTACCTGCCAGGCTGTAGTTTCTTTAGGCAACCTGGCTTGGGCAGTGTTTGTCAAAGTGCTGTCCATTTACCCACGTGAACTTTCCTTCTCTCCCACAGAATCATCCAAAACCGCATCCTGCTAGTCATCCTGGGGATCATCGTGGTCATCACCATCCTGACGGCCATCACTTTGTTTGTCAAAGGACACTGATGCATCTGCTCTCCCCTGATAAACAGTGATCTTGTCTTGTTCTGAGTAATTAAGACTAAACGGTCACAAGAACCATTGTGGTGTGCTGACAGGCCCCGGGGGGGCCCTCTGTCTCTCCCTCAACACTCTTCAGCTAGAGTGAGGGGAGTGTAAAAATAGCTCTGTTCCTGTCTGCATGTGGGTTCATTTCCTTTGGAGGTTGGTCTTTGCCCAGATTTGTTGTTTTTTATAGGTGAGGGTGAATGCTTATTTGCCTTTAGGTAACTTCGTCTGCTGTCCAAAATAGCTTTGCTAACATTCTTCCTTGCCTCGTGGACATGCCTGGGGTCACAATTTGAGAGAGGAGATGATGACTCGGTTGCAGAAGCTTCTGTGTGTCACGTACCTGTCTTTACCAGAAGGGCTTTCTGTGATGTCCAGAAGAATCAGGCCAGCGCCAGTGAGCAGTTCCAGAGGTCAGCCACGCCCTTCGCAGCATTGAATACAGCCACCCTGCCCAGACAACTTGATTGCAAAGGAGAGGGTTCACTGTCACTTGTACAGGAAATTGACTTGGCACTTTCCCTGGTATGAAATGTTTATTCACCTTCCCCAAGTGCCATACTCCCCAGAATTGGCGGACGGTGTGAGAGTCAGCACAGTATTTAGCCGTGGCCTTGCTTTCCCTGACCTGTGTAAGCATTTCTTCTCGGTTCTAATATGAACTCAGTTAGCAGAAGCCCTGAGGTGAGACAGGGCTGCCCCAACCCTTCCGGCAAGAATATTTCAGTTAGCATGATCAGGGTTCCTGTGCTGATGTGAAGTTTGCAAAGGGGGGAGTCCTACCGGACGGTCCACTAGGAAAAAACCAAAACAAAGCATAGCAAAACCTTGGTGGGAAGTGGCCACCAACCTCCTTTCGGAGAATGAAGAGTTACGGAGCGCTAGGGAAGAGCTGCGTGGGTTTTCTAACAACTGTAGCAAAACCCGCCTCGGTTCGCTGTGCGCCCCAGAACTCTATCACACTGTTTGATTTTCTTCCTTTCTTTCTGTCTGAGGTAACCAGGAATTGTGTTCAAAATGAGTTCATCTGTGAGCAGGCTTAAAGGTTGCCCAAGATGAGGCCATTTTCCCTCTAGTCGTGAAGCAAAATGTGTTTTTCTGAAGACTTCATAGACACTTTTACAGGGTCTGTACAGTCTTTTTTAATATAATTGGAAGCTTTGAATTCTTGAGAGCAGACCTATTCTCTTCATAAAAAATGCTAACCACCTGTGTTCATGTAGCAAGATGATGCTGTACTTGATCCCCCAACACACCACACACACACACACACACACACCTAAGAGGACCATTATGGAGTAGACAGGAAATGCAAAATCCACCAGAGAAACTGTGCTTGTGGAAGGAGGCCAGCGCCTGTATATGTTGAGATAAATCATTTATTATTGTGTAAATAAAGGTGTAGTCTCTGTGTCGGAAGGGTGGGATTTGGGCCGAACAAACTAGAGCAGCAGAGGAGAAGGGCCGGAAGCTTCTGCCAGCTGTAGGGACAGCTCAGCAAGAACCTCCTATTGTGATAGCCGAGTGAGTTCTGGGCATTCTGCTGTGTAAAAGAAACCATTCAAATGCAAGGAGACAACCACCGGCATCTGCCCACGCCTCTGGTGGCCTCCTTGGAAGTGGGGCTCCTCCTCTGCGGCCTTCTAAGCTGTCTGCCCAAGTTTCACCCTGCGAGCAGGGTGGAGCTGAGCACTGACGCTTGGTGGCCCCTGAGCACGTCCCTGAAACCTGTGCTCGCACAGGAGCAGACAAAGGAGACTGGAGGGCGCCTTTGCCAGTCACCCTCAGTGGCTTTCTCCGCAGAGTTCTTTTGTTTGGGGCTGTGGCCGTGGTTTGGGGGGTGGAAATCTGTGAACATATAACCCTCGGACGCAGCAGCTCCATCCCCTCCCCTAGAGAGTGGCCACCTAGAAAGTCCCCTGACGACCTTCTGTCCTCCCGATGCCACAGGAAGAACACCGAGCCACCTCGGGGCTGGGGCAGTGCCCTGCCTCCCTGCCCGACCAGGGAAGGGAGAGAGCTCGCAAACCTGTGTCGACGGTTCTAGGTTCATATTATGTAGGCTTCCGTTGTGGAATATTTCTGAAGTTGGGAGCCTTTGTTTAAAAGTGTGTGGGAGGTAGGGGAAGATGAAATGACAGTATGAAGGAGGAGGAAGAGGAGGAAGCCCTTGCCATATAAAATTCATGCAGACTAAACAGTTTCTGGGACAGTATAAATAAAGCGGATGCAACCCCACTTCAGAATCAAAAGCAATTTAATTAAAGTCTCTTAAGTTGTAAAGAGTTTTAAATGTTCCGTGTTGCAGGCGGATGCCTGCAGATGCAGTGGGCCTGACGTCAGCGGCCAGGCCTGGGCTGCGAGCGAGGCCATTTGCTATTCTGTTTCAGGCAGGCTGGATTGTCTTATTTTGGAACCAGCTTGGTGGGGGGTTTGCTTTGCTCCTGCTTCTGAGCCCTGAGCTTCAAAGGCTGAAATTAATGGTGAACAAAATTGTGCGGCTCTGGCCGTCCCATGCGGGGCAAGCCCATTGAGGGTTATCATTAAGTAAAGAAATAAAGAGGGGAAAAAAGCCTGCCTGCTCCAAAAACCTCATCAGATAATGACCTCAGTGATTGGGTTTTCATTACCAAACAGCATCCAGAGATTATCAACTCATGGAAGAAGGGAGGGAGGAGGGAAGGGAAGGAAGAGGCAAGCACAGTCTTTTTTTTTTTTTTTTTTTTTTTTTTTTTTTTTTTTTGCACATCTTTTCTTTAAAACTGTCAGATCATTTCAGTATTTCAAATCCGAGGAAAACAGCCTGCCTGCTGCTGTATTTGAAGTTGTAATGGTGTCAAAAAGTCACGACTGACTGACAGCCGTCAGTCCCAGAGGGGCTCATTAAATCATAAAAACTTGACAAGGAAATAATTGCGCATGGCCAGCGACTTGGCGCCTGTTTAGACGGTTTTATTGTCTTTCATTATCAGTCCCCACCATTACGTTCATTAACAAATTGCATTAAACAACTGTTAAGGGCTAATGATTTGTTTATCGCTTTTTTCTGTTATTATTATTTAAACATTAGCCGTGTCATGTGGTACCCAGCAGCCTCTTGCCGTCATCCGACTGAATATTTTTCCACTCCGAGCCCTGGGTACTGCTGGAATATGAAATAGATTATTCATTACTCTCCTCTTTGCCACTGATTTGGTTTCATGTAGTGTCTTCCACAGAGAAAGATGAAAACTTGTCAAAAATAGGTTATATCTTATTCGAAGGGGCAGCAATAGCAGCAGGTACAGCACACTTTAATATTTAATTAAGGTTGATGTTAGCCCCCTTAAATGACTTCAGCTGTAAGTTATATTTAAATGCGGAAGAGAGAAATAATTGTTCTTAATTTGCAACCTGTTCAGCAGGCATTCTTCAGTGGACTCACTGGGAATTTAGAGAGGAATTTTTAAATAGTGAAGTTTTCCATCACAAATATTTATAGCAGTTTGTCTACGTAGCCGGGAATTAAGTACAGGTGATGAACGATCTCCTCAGCACTTTGTGGTGAGATGCTTAGCAAACCCCAGCACTCCAGGCTTGGGAATGGAGGTGGCAAAATGTGTGGGGGAGGGGGGTCCACAGCCAGGGACAGTAGGTTGCCTGTGGCCCACACCGCTTCCAAAGGAAGGGCTCAGGCCCCGGACAAGGCCATTTGCCTTCCCCTTCAGCCGAGTGTGTGGCCGGGAGACTGTTCTGCTGTGAGGAAAGCTGTGTGAGCCTGAAATGCTGGGGAAGCTGTGCTGAGGCATCTCGGGCCTTGTGTAGTAAACTGGAGTTCACTGCAGCCCCTGCTTCCCTAAGGGGTGATAGCAGCAGCCCCATGCAAGGATTGGCCCGCCTCCTTTTCCTTTCTGTGACTTGCCATTGGTGAATCGATGGACTTTTCCATGGCCGCAACCTCAAGGGGCCCCGAGAAGGAGGAGCCCAATCATGGTCATCTGAAATCCTCCTGTTATATCTAGCCACCACTTTGTTTCATTTATGTAACTATGGAAACCTCAGCCTCAGGGCCGGGTCATTGGCAAAGGTGAGGAATGGGTAGGTACCTCTTCTCCATCCTGGCCCTAGTCCCCCTCTCCCATCCTAAGGGGCAGATCCCAGATGGTCCTGCAGGAGTCACGAGCCATCCCTAGACACAAAAACCTCATTCAGGTCCCCTTGATCACTATGGAGGTAGAAAGAGGATCCACACTTGGGTCTGGAGGAGGGGAGAGGCAACCTCTGGGCCCTAGTGACTAGAGTCTAGTCCAGATTAGTCACATGACAACTCACCTCCCTTGGAGTAACCTCCACACCCCAGCAAAAGACAAGCTAGAAGCATTTTTCCAGTGGGAAGGAAGGTAGTGTGGTAAGCCAGCCCCACTGAAACAAGAAACCTTCCTCTATCGCGAATGCCCCCCTCCCCCAGTACTGTGACCTGCTGGCTTTCAAGGGACCCAAAGCTTAATAAATACTCATTTCTGTCCCTGGCCCGTGATGCATCCGGCCTGGCCTGGTAGCATCTGCCAAGATGACACCTTCATCAATGTCTTGGAGCCAATAGGCACCACCATGATGGGTGGTGTTCCAAGGTGGCCAGGAGCACCCATCCCAGACGGGAAAGGAATATGTGACTGGCACCTAGGCAACCGGAGGACACCCTTCCACTGTGGAGCTCTGACAGTCCTTCAGGGCCTGCTCACCAGAGGCAAATGGTAAAGGCAGGGTGGGTGGAGCTCTGGGAGCAAAGGACCAGATAGTGAACTGGGAAGTCCACCAGGAGTTGGGGTAGTGGGCTCATCCCAAATAAGAGCAAGAGATCCTGAGCCCATCATACCCTTCCTCAAGAGGGACCAGTGAAGGGTTACCCCTGCTGAATCAGCTCCTTGGCTACATAAACAGGGTGGGTGGGGGCATCCAGGTGAGGGGAAACCAGCTACATGCAGAGCTCCAGCCTGTGATTGTGCAAATTCCCACCCCTCTTTCCTTCATCCAAACAAGGCCCTTTGGCATGAATAGTAGCTGGGGAGGCCGGGAAGGAGCGAAGCTGCCTCTCCACCAGTATTGATCTGCAGCCTGCGCATCCGCATCCACCAAGGGCTGCCTGGCCTTTTCCTGCAGGCAGGACCACAGCACAGCGGCAGGCCCGCTATGCTTCAGCCTTGAGCCCCCCCCCCCCCGCCTCCCAGAGCCTCCCCCAGGTGTCTTCAGAGGAGGCCATGCCAGGAAGGTGGGTGCAGGGAGCCCAGAAGCTGCTCCACACCTCAGCAAAGCTTCAAGGTCCCAAAGTTTGTGTTTTCAACTTATTTTGCCACAAAATGCCCTTGTTAGAGAGAAACGATTTTTTGGTTTTTGGTTTTTGTTTTTGTTTTTTAAATGATGAGGCCCCACAGAGTTGAGAACGAACACATCCACAGGCTTAACGTCTCTCCACAAGGTTCTGCCCAGGGCCCAAGCCATATAGGTCTTCTCCGCCGATTGAAGAAGGCCCTGCATTGGGCTAAACACCGGATATGAGGTCAGCTAAGCACTTGTACGGAACCCTGAAACCCTCCCACTGCGCCTGCGCTCCTGGCCAAGTGTGGGTTCAGCCTCCCCAGGTGACCCCATTGCACCAGCCACCTCTCTCTCTGGTTTCCATGTCCACCCCTCGCCGGGGTCCCATTTGGGTGTTGGAAGGGTAAGGTATGTGTTAGAGAGCACCCTGCGGCCCCCTCTATCTTGATCCCTCAGGTAGTGGAGTCACAGGCACCTTGCCCTAGAGGCCCACACAGACCTGCATTCGGGCAGAAAAGGAGGAAGGAGGGCTGAGGGCCCTTACTAAGAACGGGGCTAGGAAGGAAGGAGTCCCCCCTCCCCTCAGCATTTCCAGCCTGTCTCATCCCAGCTCAGGGACGGAGAAGTCCCAGGCCTCTGTGCTCTGCATTTGACATACAGAGAAGGGATCCAAATGGATGGCTCTTGTCCCCAGTGGGCTGGCCAGGAGCCTTGTCCTGGGGAGACCTGGTCATGCTCGATTTGCATGTCTTGGCATTGACTGCACCCGCCCACCCCTCCTGAGGCAGGGAGAAAGGGAGGGAGGCATTGGAGTGGAGAGAAAGGTGGTTCCAGGTGGTGGTGGTGGTGCACGCCTTTAATCCCAGCACTCGGGAGGCGGAGGCAAGCGGATCTCTGTGAGTTCAAGGCCAGCCTGGTCTACAGAGTGAGTTCCAGGACAGGCTCCAAAGCAACAGAGAAACCCTGCCTCAAAAACAAACAAAAAGAGAGGCAGTTCCAGTGGAGCTCATCATTGTCCCGCACAAAACTAAATAATCCAGCCTCTCCCTGTTCAAAAGAGAAGGGTAATGAGATTAATCTGCCTGGCCCGTGAGTTCTTACCAAAGCACCTACTGTGTGCCAGGGCCCAAAGACACACACTGAAAGGAAGATGTCAGGGGCCCTGCATGTGCCAGGCCGAGGTCTGACAGGCCTGCATCCCAGTTCGCCCTCTGACCTCAGGAATGCCATTCTCAGGGCCCCCAACTGTCATGGGGACACCTCTGCCCTCGCTGCCCTTGTCAGTGCACCTGATATCAAGAACCCGTTCCCCAGGAGCTGCATGGCAAAGAACATTCTAGATGCAACACTGGGTGTTCTTCTTGCTTGCAGTTTCCATAACTGCACTTGCAAAGATCCGTAAGAAAGCAAGTAGGAATCCTCTTCGCCTGCAGGTGGGTAGGTGGGTCCCCGTCGTCACACTTTCTGCACCCAGGACCCTCCCTTGAGCGGGAGAAGGGATAGGGAATGGGAGGTCAGGTTTGACTTGGAGGGTAGGTCTGGTTTGGTTTGGTTTGGTTTTGCTTTGTTCTTAAGTTTGACTTGATGGGCAATAGAAGCCCAAAATATAAAAGAGAAAAAAGTTGACAAGTGGCCAAGAGGCACACCATGGGAGTGTTTCTGGGCTCCATGAGGGGATGCTGCTGAGTGAGGAACCATGAGCCAGGAGGAAATGGAGCAACAGGAATGTCAAAGGCCTCTGTGTCCTCCTCCTCCTCCCCGGCCCCCATGGAGGAGGGGGAGACAGAAGCAGAACTTGTATCAACCTCCGGACACACCCCCTCTCCCAGGCAGTGAGGGAACTGGTATTGGGGTGTCTGATGTTGGGGCACGAGGACCCTGAGCACCCCAGCAAATGTAACCATGTATCCCAGCCTGGGTGGGTCCTCTCTGAACTCCTATGTGAAGAAAGACAAGACCCACAGAGCTGGACACGGTGTGTGTGTGTG